ATGGAATGGAAAAAAGCCCCGAATAAGCAAAGCACTCCTTAAGAATAGAAGAACGGTAGGAGGTATCTCACTCCCTGATTTCAAATCCTACTACACTGTCGTAGATTCACTTCTTTAATATGCACAACATTCTGAAACGTGGGTAATAGAACCAGAAATGGGTACAGAGAGGTTTTCCAAAAATTGCCCATGCCCACAGAGCTAGTAAATGGTGGAGTCTCTCTCTACTCGTGTCCAAAGGCATCCACTTTCCATCCAGTGTGTTGAACATTCTTGGTTGAACTGGACCGAGAACACTGCCATCAATGGGTGAGATACCACTTGTGCGCAGGGAGACGCTTTAGGGGGGCGTGTCTTCCCGTTCTAAAGGTTCCCATGGAGAAGGAGGTGCTCGCTAGCTGGGCAGCTCGCCAGGTCTCCCAGGCAATGAGAGAGAACTTAAGCTTGAGGGAGGGAGTGCAAGCCGTTGGGCAGAATGGAGGCCAAGGCTAACAGTCTTCTGTCACCGAGACCCAGCACCATTCTGAGCCTGGACGCCAGGCTGGGCGTTGACACGACCTTTGCCGTCAAAGTGTTTTTTACCGCGCTCTACGTGCTTATCTTTGCGCTCGGCACAGTGGGCAATGCGCTGTCCATCCTCGTGGTGCTGAAGGCGCGCGCTAGGGCTCCCATTCGCTTGCGCTACCATGTGCTGAGCCTGGCGCTCTCTGCCCTGCTGCTGCTGGTGGTCAGCGTGCCCATGGAGCTCTACAACTTCGTCTGGTTTCATTACCCCTGGATCTTCGGAGACCTGGGCTGCCGCGGTTACTACTTCGTTCACGAGCTGTGCACCTACACCACCATCCTCAGCGTGACCAGTCTGAGCGCAGAGCGCTGCCTGGCCGTGTGCCAGCCCCTGTGCGCTCGCCGCCTGCTGACTCCGCGCAGGACCCGGACTCTACTCGTGACCGTCTGGGTCGCCTCGCTGGGCTTCGCCTTACCCGTGACCGTCATCATGGGACAGAAACACGAGCTGGAGACTCTGAGTGGGGAGCCAGATCCCGCCTCCCGTGTGTGCACGGTGCTAGTGAGCCGCACAACGCTCCAGGCCTTCATCCAGGTAAAGGCAAGGCTAAGAGCAGACGCAAGGAGCAGAGGAGGAGTTAGCCTCATCCCACACACCTCTTTAGTGCTTAAGCCATCCAGAAAGTTGGGTGTCACTGGCTTCATTTTACAGGAGTCTAAGGGATACACTTAGGCAAGGTGGAAATCGTAAGAGAAATCCCGATTTGAATTCAAGATTGAATCTGAAAGTGTATGATCTTACCATACAAAATACCTATACTTTATAGGGTATAAAATTACCTGAGAAGCTTGTTAAAAATTTGGATTCTACGACCCCTATTGGCTTCTGATTTAGTGCGCCCTGAAGCCAGCATTCAAACAAGTTCGCAAAGTGGAAGTAGGAGAAGGATTTCTGTTGCCAGCACCAGAGTTTCAGTGGGGCAGGAAAAAGGCATTCTGGATCTGGATTTTGGAGCTCATGCTCAGGCCCCTAGCCTCGCAACAGTCATTGCCCTTACAATGTCTTCCTCCCCGTCTTGCCTCTGCCTTGCCTCCCCAAAATGCTTCATTCCAATCCCCACACATAGTTAATTTATTATTTTCGGGCATTCAAGTGAAAGATCTTCCCTCTGTTCTCCTCCCTCTGACCCTTATACAAAGTGAAGCTCTAGAATAAAGGCTTCTTTCAACATGCCAACCTTCAGGGCTCTCTCCACCTTTCTTCTGAATCTCTCAACATGTAATGCACCTGTGGCTCTTTGAATGCCTTTTCTGAAAGCGATTCCACCTCTTGTTTTAGTGATGTCTCAGGTTACACATGACATGGTGTGGATTTGCGGGATAGAGGCAGCTCTGGTCCAGTTATATGCTGAAGAAAAAAAATGTTTTTGTAACTTAATTTTCATCTCTGTAGGGTGAGAATTATAATAATGTCTTGCTCTCATTTATTTTTTAAGAGAAAACTTATATTTACTGTAAAAATTTTCAACACATTTAAACAATGAATATATTAAAAATAACAAAAGTCAAAAAGGTGTTTGAAGACAAGTAAATGCTGAAACTTTCAACTCTCTACATTAACCTATGAATGAGTGACATCCACTTCCTAAACAACATGCCTCTGGAAACTCTATGAACTTTGATAAATGACGGTAGTTATAGAAAGGCTTCAAGCCTTTTGTTCATAGGGTTGCTATGAGTTGTGCTCGACTAGAAGGCAATCAACAACAAACAGCAATGAAAATGTGTAATTCTTTTTGGGTGGTGTTATTTAAAAATGGATAAAAGTAGCTCATAGCATATGCTGTTGTTATTGTTATATGCCATCAAGACAGAACCTGCTCATAGCAGATCCTCCAACGAGTTTTCAGAGGCTATGAATCATACAGGATGAAATTGCCCATCCTTCTCCATGGAGCAGCCGGTGAAATGAAACCACTCACACAACACCTTATTCACCAGATTACAAGAGCTCTGTAGCATATATAAATGGCTTTTATTGCTTCACGTGTTTTTACCTGTGCATTTCAGAGCTCAATTATGACTTAAATTAATGTTGTTATCCACCATCAAGTCAGAACTGACCCAGAAGCAGTAAATCACATGGCAGAAGATTCCCTAGAGCTCCCTATGGTTTAAATAGTAGATTTTTACTTATTTTAATTGGTCTTTATTCTGTCACTTATTAACATTTCATTTTATAACAATAATCACCAGTGGAGAATACCATTATTTAGGGAATTCTGGTAGCCTAGTGGTAAGAAACTTCGCTGCAATCCTGAAGGCATGTGGTTCGAAACCACGACTTGCTCTGCGGGAGAAAGATGGGCAGTCTCCTCGTGTGTGATTAGCTGCCTCTGAAAACCTGCTAGAGGGGCAGCTATGGGTCAGTTCCGAATCAATGGTACACAACAAAACAAACAACAAATGCCATTTTTTTTTTTTGCAACAGTCTAGAAACCGCACCATACTGTCCCTTTCCCATCACCTGACCAATTATTTAGTCAACTTTTCTCCCTCCGTCTCCCTTCCATCCCTACCTGTCAACCCTCTGCAACTGTTTCTATCTGTGGGTAAAACTTCTTCTCTCCTTCTTTCTTTCAAACCTTTACCCATCGATCAGTTATACATTTTCTGTTCCAGACTAATTGTCCTACGTGCACTGTTTGATAGTCCATTAGATCTTTTATTTCAATTTAAATATAATATTTATACCATCTAATTCTAGAGGGCCCAAGGGGGTGGAAATTTTATGCATTCATAACAGCATCATTAAATGATCTATATTAAAAGGATGATATTGTAGGAAATACATTTTCATGAAACTTCAGGAAGAGTGAATTTGGCATCAGTGAAATAACAGTTACCTCTTTTAAAAACTCAACAAAAATACTTGGCAAGGGAGAAAGCAGAGATGAATGCCCTCCTGATATAGATGAGCTGGCTCAACTTCTGTCAAAGCTGAACTACCCCTGCCCGTGGCCCCGGTCCCTCCCTGAGCCCTCGCCATCTAACTCTTCTCACCTGGGGACTGTGCATTACAGCCGCAGAGCAGCACAGCACACTCAGCTTCCCCCAGCGTCTTCCACTCCAGTTCTCAGCTGCAGCAGAATAGAAATTGCACTGCTGCTCATACCTTAAAGCAAATGTGAAACATGACAATTAACCCTACGACGACATGTTCAAAATGACTGGTAGCCATGTCCACAACTTCTCCCAGATTGAGGTCATCGCTTCCAGGTTATACCTATTTTGGAGTCACACTCAGGGTAAAAAAGGTTCTGAGTAAGGTTTTCATTTGTTTAAACGACTTGCACAGTTTACTGGATCTGAGTGCATTTTCTTTTTTTCAGTAATAGTCGTGTTGACACTGAAAGGTGCAAGGGTAAGCATTTGACATTATATGTAGTGACTGCTTCATTGATGGCATTATCTACTAAATAGCGTGGAAAAGGGGTTTGACTTGAAACATACAATATATTTTAACACAATAAAATAACTAAGGATTATGGTAACAAATTTTTTGGTGTGTCTTATTTAGTGGGTTGATTCTCTTTCCATCTTAATCAGTGTTCTTAGAACAATCAAATTGCTCATGATACTTGTCTTTGTAATTTTTGCTTAATTTGAATGAAAGTTTGTAGAGCAAATTGGTTTTCCATTCAACAATTCATGTTTTGAATTTTGACATTGACTTCAAGTCTCACAATATAATATCTTTCTTTCCACTTCTTCCTTGTATTTATCACTTCCATTCATTCTTTTTAACTTTTTTATTTTAAATTTATTTTAATGAAAGTTTACAGAGACTTTGTTTTTTGGTTTTTGGTTTTGTTTTTTTTTATGCTTAGACATTTTATTTGAGGCATGCTGGAACAGACCTAGGGAAGGAAACCAACCTGGTTAACAGGTGTGCATGTGATACAAGCCACTGTCACAGAATTAACAGTCCAGAAAGCATTGTCAGACAAATATCGGCTAGAAAAAAAATAAGTTCCAACAATGTAAATGTCCAACTGGGAGACACCACACTGGCAAACATTGGCAAATCCTGCTATCCAGACTCCTTTATGGAATTTCCACGACCAGTTAGAAACCTGCTTTAAGTCTGGGCTGTGTAAAACACCAGTGCTGTGCCCCATAGGAAGATGTGGAGCACGGAGGCCCCAGGGCAAGCCTGCTGGAAACCTGCCCACCTCTGTTGTCACTGACACCCTTAACCGTTTGGAGAGTTAAAGCCACAGTTCAGAGATGGCTGCCTCAGTCATTAATAGCTAGCACTGGTGTCATCTGCAGCAAGTAAGCAAAACAGATTTATGTCATCAGCACTCCTCTGTGCATTCTGGCACATAATGTGTAGCAAAAGCATCTTCGAGAGCTGTTTAAGGGAACATAATAGGCATAAAAAAAATACAAAAAACCAAAGTAGCATTCACTCAAGTTTTATCCTAAGAGAGGAGGAAAAAGTAATTATGCAAAAGCAACAATTAACGTGGTCAGGGCAACATTTTCAGCTTAAAAACTAAACCAGTGGCAAAAAGCCAAAGCCGCACAAAGCAACATAAGATGCAAACACTCTTCAGAAAACACATAACTGACCATTCAGAGAAATGTTAACATTGGTATGTTCTTTCCAATA